ACATGAACTTTTAATATCCGTGTGTAATATTAGATTATGAGGCTAAAGTATATATTTAATCTTCCAACTTTATATAAAGTTTTTTGGTTTTTTAATTTAAAAAAGTATGATTTTAGTCCTTCAACCTTAAAATCGTGAACAAACAAAAATAATCATATTGAGTTATTAAATGTTGATTAAATATTCTCAAATACTAATATATTAAGTTTAATTTAAAAAATATCAACAACTATTACAAAAAATCATTACTTAAGACTAGCACTTTGAGAGTTAAAATTAAGAAATCAAATTAAAATCTTATATAAAATTAAAAAACTAGATATATAATTTAACAAAAGAAAAAAAGAGTTGAGATGTTATATTTATGATTAAAATTATTTTTTAAATATAAGAGTTAGTTAAAAAAATTATTTTTTTAACTAGCCCTTAAACTCAATGATCATTCGCAATCTCCTTCCCGTTCTGTACATTATTAGATAGAGCCCCACTTCTGGTTGACTCCGTCGTATTGCTCCGTGCAACCAAACAATCAATATCAATTTATTAATAACAGTAGTACCAATCGATGCCAAAATTAACAACATGCCTGCAAAATTGGCTAAAACCATACGTAACTCTAAATTAGTTTTCCCTTATTAAATGTGAACAAGGATTAACAGCTGCCTATTTAAAGCTGAACAAGAACTGTACTCATTGAATATTCAATACATTTAATAAAGGCTAAATTATATAAAACATCAATCAATTGCATAAAACTAAAGTTTTAACTTTCCTAACCTTTTATTTTTTTTAACACAAACACTTTACCGTTATCTTTTTGACAGAAATTGTCATATCATATTAATAGAAGATATGTGACACTTTATATGGCATCCTAGCTACGTGGCATTTAATAATTGTATATACTCTTTCCATCTTTAATATAATAATTAATTAATTAATTTGAGTATAATTATATTTTTTTAGATATCCTAATTATCTTTCTCAATTCTTTCTCTCTTTCTTACTTAATTATTGTTGAGGGAATATAAAAAAGGTGTTAATTTGAAAAAAAAATGATAAATAAATATGTAAAATAGATCTTACATATAAAACCAATGTTAACTCTCAAATTAGATCCTATATTAAGGATAGAAGGAGTACTAATTATATATTTTTTGCATAAGGATTAATCTATCATTTTATCATTAAAATAAAGGGAAAATTAGGGAGAATGACCTACTGGAAGTAATATTTATTGAGAATGATCTTAAAAAGTGTAATTATTTAGGAGGACCAAATACTAAAATATAATTTTAAAAATACTAAATTACCCTTAACCAAATCTCCTATCTTTCCTCTAATCATTATTTTTCAATTTTAAATTAAATCCTTAATTTAATTTAACTATTAAATCTTCAATATTTCATACCAGCACATCTCTATTTCTCATCCCTCTTGTTTCTTAACATGGATCTACACCACTAGTACTTTTCATTGCCCTATATCAATAGTTGTTAATGCACGGTTTGTGTCATTATAAGATCATTAATAATGACAGTAATATTGTATAGACTTCGCCAACTAAAACAGTTAGTCGAATTACAACTGGATAATATTTGAAGATTAATTGGGATTCCTTAAGTTAATGTGACATTGAATGATCGATGTGATTTGTTAATATTTTATTATTGTTATGTTGCTTTTTTTGTTATTTCAATTTTTAAACTTCATACTTACAATTGTTTGGTTTTTTTTTTTTGGGTTTTCAATCAATTGAGCATAGATGGAGTGAGGTTATAGATTCAAAATTTGAACTAAATATAAGGCTAAATGTATTTTAGTTGAACAATATTTAATTATTTATTGTTATTAGACCTGAAAATTGGGATAAAAAAATATGGATATAAAAGTAAAATAACAGTGCAAAAATATTTTTATTAATGAAAAATAGATCCATAATGGGTTGTAAAGTTAGTGGTTAGAGAAAATGTAGGAGATTTAGTTGGAGGTATTTTAGTATTTTTAAAATTTATACATTGACATTTGGTCCTCCTAAATAATTACACTTTTAGGATCCTCCCAATAAATATCATCTTTTCTTAGTCCTTCTCTCTAATTTTCTCTTTAAAAAATTCTCTCAGTGGGAATGATTTAAATCAGAGTAACAATCCTCTATCTAAATAAAATTTGTAGAGTATCAATATTTTTTATATATACAATTTTTTTCGGTCCTTTTCATTGATAAAATTTTGGATGGGAAACTTTTTTCAGTTTTCTCTATTTTCCATACAAATCAGACAAATTCAATTTTGCCTGCCTTAGATTTTTGAAAACTTTTTGAAAACTCTAACTATCCAATCTGAATTTTAGGGTTTTACAAACATTTTTTGAGTTTTGGGTTTATGTTAAAGTTCGGGTATTTATATATACATTTTTAAAAGAATATCGCGGAATATGAATTTCCACTTTTCTTTTTCATTTTTTTCAACTGGCCAAATAACCACTGTTTTACTTTTAATGTGTCAAACGTCTTTTTCAGTCATACTTTTCCTCGTAATTTCTCTCTGTCCTTTTTTGGGAGTAAGTTTCCACAAATAACACGGCTTTAAAGATGACGAAGCGATTGTCAGCCACACGGCCATGAGCCCATGACTGAGTCGGATACATAGGAAAAGTCACAACGCGGAACGCAGGAAGGGCGGGAGGCAATTTCGTCACATACCCTTTAAATCCATTATAATTATAACTAGCAGCAGGAAATAAAAATGGTGAGTATGAAGAGTATATATTTTTCTTATTTTTAATATGAGACCTAATTATTAAGTTAATTTTGATTTTAAATATAAGACCTATTTCTTATATTTATTAATTTTTTCTAAATTATCTCTATAGAACTCCCTCAATCATAATCAAGTAGGTAAAAAAAGGAGAATATTAAAAAAGATGATTATAATATTTTAATTAGGAAATACATGTCATATTTCTCATAATTAACTAACTTACTTAACTTTCTTAATGTAATCAAATTAATTAAATATGTATTATATTTAAGGATCAGAGGAGTATAAATTTAAAGTGCCACGCTGGTTAAATGCTTTTTTTCCTCTAAGCGGCACAGCTGGTTGATGTGGAGAAAGCCTCATATTTCTGCAATCACACTCATACCCTGACCAATTAATGATCCTTCCAGTCTTATTAATTGGCTCGTATGAAACCCGCAAGCATTCCATGTGTCGACAACGTAACATAGGGGATATTTTCTTTTATTCTCTTTTTGTTTCTCCCTATATTTTAAACTTGTCTAAGCAAGCATATGGCATTGAAGATGTTTATTACAAGTACGAGTATTATAAGGTAGTTGTTCTAACTTCTGATTGCTTGCCAGGCATTCCATATTTTAGGTTTGTTGATTATTACTCCTCCACTCTTGCTTATAAATAGTAGTATTGTTTTTACATTCCATGTGGCGAATAGGGGACCAACCTCTAATGACAATAACAGAAACCTAACCATTGTAATTCTAATAAAGTCGTGAATTTTGTGTTATTAAGTGATAAATTATGAAAGCTCCGCCATTCTATGTGGAAGGTCTCAGTAATAAACTTGAAGTTAAATAGGATATGAAAAAACCTTGAAATATAACCACATGAAAGGCCCGGAAAACCTCTCTAAGAAAGCTCGGTTTAAAAGACTTACGAAAAAGCTTGATATATTTAGAACTTAAATATCCTTTTTAAAAAGTAAAAGATGAACTTCATTTAGTTCACGCGGTACCTCACAATGAGGCTGATTAATGAGATGACATTTTTCTTTTTTGCTTGACCAAATGGTATTGATTAGTATTCGATTATTGACGACGTGAGTTAGGTGAAGACAAATCGCGAGAAAAAGGACAAATCCTAAAAAGGATGACCAGATGGGGAAGGCCAAGGGTGCGAGTGAGCGACGACCTTGACTTGCCCTGTTCACATCTCTGCAATGGCCCACTCACAGGAACGAGAAAAGTACTCGCAGAGCTCAACCTCATGAAGAACGGTCATAGGATGAACAACAAGGGGGTTAAACCAGACGACTGCCTTGACTTGCATACTAACAATAACTGCATCCCCTATGCTCTCGCATGCCTGTAGCTTGCTTCCATTGTAGCCAGCAGAAGGATCAGAATGAGGATACTGCTCTCTTGTTCCTTGCGTCTTCACATGTTTGCTTTTGTTCTCTTTTATGCTTTTCTAGTATGTCTTCCTCCGCCCTGCTTAGCCGGAGATAATTTGAAGAAGAACGAGAGCCTTCGTGAAGATGCCGGTGCCACCCTTGTGACAACGGGGCAGCAGTTTGAATTGGGTTTCTTTTCCCCTGGTGGAAGCCGAAACAAATACCTAGGAATATGGTATCATGGGATAGAACCGCGAACTGTTGTTTGGGTTGCTAACAGAGACAACCCCATTCCTCATTCAAGAATTGGAAATTTTCAACTTTCGCGAGATGGAAATCTCACTGTGTCCGATACAGACGGAAATCATTATTGGTCTTACACGCCTGAACAAGTATCTTCTCACGCGAACTTCACAGTGAGGCTTATGGATTATGGGAACTTAATTCTAGCAGACGATCAATTACAGACCTACTGGCAAAGCTTCCAACACCCTACCGACACATTTTTGCCGGGCATGATAATGAATGAAGATTTAGTTTTGCAATCTTGGAAAGCCTCTGGTGATCCCGGGAGTGGGAACTTCACGTTTGCTCGTGGAAGAACAGGGTATATCAACTATATAATCCACGACAAGGAGACCCACCGACTTCACTGGGCAGGTGAAACACGCCAGGATTTCGGCACAAACGGAAGAGTGCTTTCTCTGTTGACAAACTTCACCCAAGGGAATTTTGCTTGTACAAACTTCACCGGGAATTCTACTTATACAGACTTCACCCAAGGGAATTATACTTGTAAAGACTCAGACTTGATGTCAATAAATAGACTTCGTTCTGTATTTGAGTCTGAGAAAGCAAGGCTAGTGATGAATTATACAGGACGGGTAGAGCTTTGGCGCTTGGATCTGTTGGACGGAGAATGGGGGACTAGATGGGGCAGGCCAGATAGCAAATGCAAGATATATAACTTCTGTGGGAACTTTGGCAGTTGCAATATTAATAGTTCGCCAACGTGTAGATGTTTGCCCGGATTCATTTCTAAGTCGCAGGGGGAGAATCAGACTCCGTCCTATAAATCTGGAGGCTGTTTCAGAAAACCCACACCATGCGCGCAAAACAAGACCACATTCATAAACCTGAAGAGGGTGAAAGTGAGAAAACCAGACACAAAAGTCTCCGCAGCCAATGAAACAGAGTGCCGATCTCAGTGCGTCAATGGGTGCCCCCCTTGCACCGCTTATTCATACGATGCGTCGACAGATGTCTTTAGTAGGATGTCCGTACCGTGTTCTATTTGGACTTCTGATTTATCTACCCTTCAGGAAGAGGATGATGCGGGCTTTAATCTTTCTGTCCTGGTATATAAACCAGATATAGGTACGTCATATATTTTAACCATCTCAACTCTCCAACTAAGATGCTTTCTTTACTTAGTCAATACTGTCTTAGATTGTCTAACACGAAACTGATACAGAACCAACTCCAAGAACCTGCAAACCTTGCGGTGTATTCACAATTCCTTATCCGCTAAGCACTGAACCAAGTTGTGGTGATCCCATTTACTCTCATTTTAAGTGCGACTCGCCAACCGGGCAGGTTAGTTTCATTGTGGGAGAAGAGCCTTATAGAGTTACTAACATTGATCCAGACGAGAGATCGTTCTCTATCCAAATCAAAGATTCGGGTGATTGTCCTCCAAGCAATCTCGGGCGTTGGCTTGGTCCTTCATTTGGGGTGACTCAACAGTGCGATGAGGGAGACGAAGCAAAGACACTAAAGATTAATTGGTCTGCTCCAGATGAACCTCCATGTAATAACTCCGTAGACTGCGAGGGCTGGTCTCATTCAACTTGCAACGCAACCAGTAATGGAAATGGAAGATGCCTCTGCGATGAAAAATATTACTGGAATCGCCTCAATTTAAGCTGCAATCAAGGTAAAGGTGTTAACACATTAATTTATTCCCCCCCCCCCCCCCTAAATTCTTCATGTTAGAGAGACCGTACGTCTAAACCTGACCGCTGTCCAAGCGTATTGGAGCCCTGAAACTGACTTGAATGGTAACTTGGATAGGATTTAACAAGTAAGGAAGAATTAACATTTCGGAGTGGGAGATTGATGAGAAGGATCGTATCTGTTGAAACAATATGAGGCGATATTTAATTGTCTTGTTGAAAATTGATTTACCGACTGATTAGAATGACCTTTGTTGTTATGAGTAGTGAGATTCTTTCATCTTTTTATTTTTATTATTCCTCAACTTAGTTTGAGCCAAATTGATTGATGCGAACTCCGTAAGAACGCTGAGTTTCTCTATTCTACCTTTTTTAGCCAATAACAACCATTCAGTTTAATTTAATGAATATGAATCGCGCCTACATGACGCAAGAGTAATAGAAACTGCGGCTAAAGGATTTACTGCACTATTTTACTTTGATTTTACAAACATTGAACCTCTCACCGATTTTTACTTCTAGGAGAAACAGTGAGCAAAAAACGAATGATAGGAATGACAAGATAACGACAAGAGTGATTTCATGATGTTCTTGTCAATCTTCGGTATATGCAAGTGTTATAGATAGAGACACAAATTTAACTACCGCTGACAAGCTGCAACTGAATGCAGTCAGGCTAACTCTTCCGTACTCAGATTGATGTCAAACTTTAATATATAATGATTATCCAACACTTCAAAATGCTCAAGAACATTTTAATACTATTACTATCATCATCATCATCATCATTAGTGCCCACAATTAAAGTACACTTGATTCTACAATTTCAATGGCATTCCTCAATCTTACGTGTAGACGCTAACACATTTCCTTTGTCAATAGAGCCTCCAAGAAGAATAAGCTCTAAAGTTTTGATATTAGTGGTGACATTTTCAAGCTTGATTTTCTTGGCCTGCATTACAACTTCTGCTTACATTTGGAGAAGAAAAGTAGCCTTTGAGCAAGGTAACACATTTTCTGCTTACAAACTTCGAAGCATTCAACAGGATATGATGCTTGAGATTATAACTGGACATCATAACTTTCATCATGTTATAGAGCCGTGTTTATGTATTAAGTTTATGTTTGCATCTATTATGCGTGTTTAGAAAGGGGACAAAATCAAAGAACGAGAGATGCCCTGCATGACAGTGAGAGGTATATCAAAGATTTCATAGACGCCGAGAGGACAGAGGAAAAGGACGGTGAAGGGATAGAGGTACCTTATTTGGATTTTAATAGCATCCTTTTAGCCACGGATAACTTCTCAGATGTGAACAAGCTTGGACGTGGGGGTTATGGACCTGTCTACAAGGTGATTGATTCAGTTCCACTTTCTTCATTGATTTCTAAACTTTAGAGACATGCTATATGAAGAATTTTTATTACAGGGCAAGCTTCAAGGAGGTCAAGATATTGCAGTCAAGAGGCTTTCAAGCGTTTCTTCACAAGGAATGAAGGAATTCAAGAACGAAGTTGTCTTGATATCCAAACTTCAACATCGGAACCTTGTTAGACTTTTGGGCTATTGCATTACAGGACAAGAAAAAATATTACTTTATGAATACATGCCAAACAAGAGCTTAGACACATTCTTATTTGGTAAGTTACAAAATGCTTAATTATCAATAATTTCAAGCTTGATACAGGTTTGGTGAATTTAATGTAAAAGGAAATGTTGATGTAGATCGTACACAAAGAGTGATTTTGGACTGGCAAATGCGTTTTGACATAATTTTAGGAGTTGCTAGAGGAATGTTATATCTTCATCAAGACTCTAGATTGAGAGTGATTCATAGGGATTTGAAAATTAGTAATATTCTTTTGGATGAGGAGATGCAACCAAAAATTTCAGATTTTGGACTTGCAAAAATATTTGGAGGCAAGGAAATTGAGGCTAACACTGAAAGAATAGTTGGAACTTAGTAAGTTTAATGTGTCTCTTTTTTTTTAAATATTGATCTTAAACTATATTTACAACAAACATTATAATTTTGATTCTTTTTATTTTATAGTGGATACATGGCTCCAGAATATGCATTGGATGGATTTTTCTCGATCAAATCAGATGTTTTCAGTTTTGGGGTTGTAATGCTTGAAATTATCAGTGGAAAAAAGAACACGGGATTCTTTCAATCCAAACAAAGTTCCAGCCTTCTGGGTTATGTATGTTTGATCTTGTTCGTCCCTTGGCTTAATGTTCTTTTTGCAGTGTGGTGATTTCCTATTTATATGAATGCAGGCATGGAGGCTATGGACGGAGAATAACCTCTTGGATTTAATGGATCGATCTTTGAATGAAAGTTGCAATGCAAATCAATTCATCAAGTGTGCACAAGTAAGTCTGTTGTGTGTGCAAGATGAACCAGGAGAGAGACCCACCATGTCGCAAGTATTAATAATGCTTGAAAGTGAGACTGCGAGCCTTCCAACTCCAAAGCAACCGACCTTTTTTATGAGCAGTAGCAGGGGCCTTTCTAGCTCTGCTTCTTCTTCCAGTAGACCTGAAGGAATTCTTCCTACTGACAGTACCTATCAACAAGGTCGGTAGTGAAGATTGGATTATATTGGATCCTGCTGGAAAACAAAAAACTAACTTGTCATTGAAATTCTAGCACGCTTGTGTGAAAGGCCATTCATTCTTAGGGGACCTAGATCAGCTGACATCTGGTATGAAAATACAATGCAAATATCAGTTAGGCATATGTTTGAAATCTGTTGGCGCAATTATTTGAAGATGAAACGTGTTGATATTTGAGGTACTGTGTAGTCTATGTGTTTGCTCCAAAAATAAGTTGGGCCAAACCCAACAGAGAGGAGAAGCGAGCACTATAAACAGGATGGCACTGGAGGCCCATATATGTCCGATCTCTGTGGCAACTAAGATCTATATCGTGGGCCGAAGCTATTGAATTAAATGGTCTTTTGTGGGGTATATGAGGGCGTAGAAATAGAATGATGGATTTGGACAAGTAGAAGAGGCCCTTGTAGCGCGTGTAGACTGTAGAGAGCTGAGAGTAACCCGGGAAGAAAAAGAATCGAGATTCGAGTCCTTGAAAATTCAAAGGTAGACTTTTCTATTAGCTTTGGACATTTTCTATATAAATATATATCTGTATGTACACACACGCACACACATATATTATATAACATAGAAACCGGACAACATCAATTTTGTTTGGGTTATATTTTGGAAAACACTAATTACCGATGAAATTTAGGGTTTTACAAACATTTTTGGGTTTTGGCCTTTCGGGTTCACGTTGAAGTCTGGGTTTGTGTGCGCGTGTACTTAGAAAAATATTGTGCAATATGAATTTATCGAGACTAGATGGTATTTTAGGCATTTTTACTTTCTTTTTTTTCAATTATCTTCAACCTTTTACACAGACCAAGTGATATTTTTCTGATCAAACATCCTACTGTTTCTTCAAAAATGACCAAACAGTCATATTTTTCCTTTTAATTACTCTCGTCTTTTTTGAGTAAAGTCTCCACAAAATACATTCTATAAACAACATAGATTCCAAGAGTAAGATGATGACGTTTAAGATAAAGTAAGAGATTGTCAGGATGGCTTGCATTGAAAATAAAGAAGTAAAAAACCAGAATTGGGATATAATGAAAACGCTTGTCATTAATAGTACTAATCCAAGGAGAGTCACAAAAGGAATAGAAAGAAAGAGGTCAGAGAAAGGAGAAACATACACGGAGGTAGAGAAACACTTTCATCAGATGATCAAATACTTTATTCCATCCCCACCCCTCACCCTATGTATCCTAACTTCTTCCAGTATACTCCCTAGAGAACCGTGATATTAGGTTTGTTGAGCTCATAGTTGCTTCCTTATGATCCCCATTCATAAAATCATTACATCGATTTATGAGCGACTTTCAAATGATCATAAAATATAGGTATATAGGTTTTGATTTTAAAAAAAAATTATAAGACTAAATTAGAAATTGTCATAAATTATTAAAATGAATTAATTAACGAATAAAAATGATGAGTCTAAAAAGTATTCATTTAAATTTTAAAGTGCCACGCTGGTTGGTTACATGGTTTTTTCCCCACCAAAATAAGAGTGCAATACAGCCGGTTCATGGTGTGGAGAAAGCCCCATAATTCTCCAATCACAACCATGCTTTCACCATTCAAAGTCGTTCCTATCTTATTAATTAATTGGCTGGCATGAAACCCGGAAGCATTTCATGTTTTCGAATGATGCAATTTATTTTTGGTATTTCTTATTTTTTTATTAATATTAGTTTTTTTGGGACTGCCTCCTACATATTTTGCAAATCAAGTTCTACTCAGTACAGCTTGACTCGCTCAATAATAGAGAACTGTTGTGTTTGACTGAGTCATTCACAAGTTTAAACGAGCTGCGGCTAACATGAGGTTAAAAGTGAATTGGTGCGATTCTGTAAGCTGTAAATATAAAAATGATAAGCTTGATAAATCAACCCATAAGTCGAACTAAATTTGCAGTTGATAGTAGCATATATTTAAGTGAGAGTTAATATGATTGTATAAACTAAAACTAAAAACGGAAAGGAAGTTGACGTCAATGCGTGTTTCATTGCCGATTTATCCATAATTAGCTGTCAAAGCAACGTGGAATATATATGCTGCTTCCCTTGCAGGTCAGTGTCGGAAGTTTTGACTTAAAGATTGTCTAAATCTTAAACATGTAATATGGAGGACAATGAATTATCGCATGTGTTCTTTTTTTTTGACCAGGGGTCGCATGTGTTCATTGCACTCATACAAACAATAAACCGACATAGAAATACTTATAGTGGCACTGTTTAAAATTAACTTGACTCCTTCTTGCCGGTTCTGCGCGTAGCGACTTGGAAATCTTTGCGGTGCTGAACTGTAATGTCAATTTAGTGTCCTTTTCGATTCAAAAATAATTAATAAAAAAAGCTTCATCATAACTGCAGTTTGATGAAAACCTGCGCAATAAATTTTAAATTATTGTTTTTATATGGAAGAATTCTAAAAAAAAATATCTTTGAATTTTAAAATTCAAACTCAGTCTTGTTTACTACACGTTAATAACAATTGATCATATTTGAAAGTTAAATGACAACATATTTTTTAGTCATTCCTGATTTGGGATTTTGAAATTTTAAAAAAAATTTCTTTTTATATTCCAGAAGGTAAACAGGGGATGAAGTTCAAGTGACAATACTAGGAATCTAACCACTGTAAATTCTCAAGTTATGAATTTTGTATTTTGAGTGATAAATTATGCAAGCTTCATCACTATATGTCGCAGGTCTCAGTAATAAATTTTAAGTTGTTAAAACTGAGTAATATTTAAAAGAAAAAAAAGAAAAAAAATTGTGAAGGGGCAAGACAAAGAACCCAAAAATCCTGTAAACGAGCGCTGTTTCAAGAGCTAAGAAAAAACTTAATATATTTAAAAGTGGAACATCGTTTAAAAAAAGTCAAAAAAAATGAACTTCATTTAATTTACCCAGGACCTCATAATCAAGCTGATTACTGAGGTGATTTTTTCATTTCTTTGTCGCTAAATGATTCGTATTGACTATTGATGGCGCGGATAAGACCAAGAAGACAGATCCCGACGGCCCCAAAAAGAGGATGAGGAACGGCCAGGGCGCTAGTGTGCGCCGACCTTGACTTCCCCTGTCAACTACCCCCCAGCTCGATATCCTGGTTTTATGCAAATGACTATTTAAAAAGGTTATAAGTTGGCGTTATAAGGTAGTTCTTTTCTAACTTTCAAGGTCAAAAAAAAAAAAAAAGTAGTTCCCTTCCAACTTCTGAGTGCTTGCCAGGTGTTCCACATGGTAGGCTTGTCGATTATTTATTTATTATTATTTTTGTTTTTTACCGGAGGGTTTGTTACAAACCTGCTTTTTTTTACAAGTTATTTTTAATATATTTTACTAAAAAATTTAGAATCAAGAAAAACTTTAAACCTTTTTGAATTTTACTTCTGTTTAATACATATATATATATATATTAAACTTTGATATATGTACATTTACCCCAGGACCTCATAATCAAGCGATCACTGAGATGATTTTTTTTTTTTTGTCTTTTGTTCTTGACCAAAGATGGGATGGCTTACTGTTCACAATGGTGATCTTGATTAATACTGACGCGAAAAAGATCACGAGAGAAGGACAAATCCTAAAAGCGATGCCCGGATGCGAGTGAGCGACGACCTTGACTTTCCTTGTCAACTACTGCCTTGAGTTGCATACCAGCAATTGCATTCTCTATGCTTCCATTGTAGCCGGAAGAAGGATCAGAATGAGGATGCTGCTCTCTGTCTCTTACGTCTTCACATGATTGCTTTGTTCTGTTTTATGCGTTCCTATTATGTCTTCCTCCGCCCTGCTTAGCCACAGATACTTTGAAGATCGGTGAAAGCCTTCATGACAGGGAAGATGCCGCTGCCAACCTTGTCACCACGGGAGGTCAGTTTGAACTGGGTTTCTTTTCCCCTGCAGGAAGCCAAAACAGATACCTAGGAATATGGTATCATGGGATAGAACCGCAAACTGTTGTCTGGGTTGCTAACAGAGACAACCCCATTCCTCATTCAAGAACTGGAATTTTCCAACTTTCGCTAGATGGAAATCTCACCGTGTTAGATACAGAAGGAAATCCTTATTGGTCTTACACACCTGAACAAGTATCTTCTCTCGCAAACCTCACAGTGAGGCTTATGGATTCTGGGAACTTAATTCTGGCGGACGACCACTTACAAGCGACCTACTGGCAAAGCTTCCAACACCCTACGGACACATTTTTGGTGGGCATGAAAATGGATGAAGATTTAGTCTTGAATTCTTGGAGAGCCTCTGATGATCCCGGCAGCGGTAATTACACATTTGCAGGTGGAAAAACAGGGGATAGCAACTATACAATCTACGTCAACCAGAACCAAGTTCACTGGGCTGGTGAAACGCGCCAAGATTTCGGCTCAGAAGGGACAATACTTTCGCTCTTGACAAACTTCACCCAAAGGCCTTCAACTTATAAAAACAACAGCATGTCAACAAACTCACCTCGTTCTGATTTTGAGCATACAAGGCTGGTGATGAATTATACAGGACAGGTAGAGCTTTGGCACTGGGATCATATCGAAGGATGGGGGACTAGATGGAACAAGCCAGATAGCAAATGCAAGATACATAACTTCTGTGGAAACTTTGGCAGTTGCAATATGAATAATTCGCCATACTGTAGATGTTTGCCTGGATTCGCTTCTAAGTCGCAGGGGGAGAATCAGGTTCCATCCTCTGAAGCTGGAGGTTGCTTCAGAAAAACAACATCATGCGGGCAAAACACGACAGCGTTCATAGACTTGAAGAACGTGAAAGTGAGAAAAGCAGACAAAGCAGTCTACGCATCGAATTCAACAGAGTGCCAATCTAAGTGCCTTAATCTCAATGGGTGCCCAAATTGCACAGCTTATTCATATGATGCATCAACAAATTATGATAGGACGTTCTTATCGTGTTCTATTTGGACCGCCGATTTGCCTACCCTTCAAGAGGAGATTGATAAGGGTGTTAATATTTCTGTCCCGATAAGTAAACTAGATATAGGTACATACACTTTCACTACCTCATCTCCTCAAATAAGATGCTTGCTTTACTTGATACTGTCTTAGATTGTCTAACATGAAACTGGTACAGAACCTACTCCAAGGACGTGCAAGCCTTGCGGTGTATTCACAATTCCTTATCCGCTGAGCACCGAACCAAGTTGTGGTGATCCCATTTACGCCAATTTCACATGCGACTCGCCAACCGGGCTGCTTAATTTCACAGTGGGAGAAGAGAGTTATAGAGTTACTAACATTGATCCAGACGAGAGATCGTTCTCTATTCAAATCAGACATTCGGATAATTGTGCTGCAAGCAGTCTAGGGCGTCGGCTCGATCCGCCATTTAGTGTGACTCAACAGTGCGATGGTGAGGCAAAGACAATAAAGATTAATTGGGATCCTCCAGGTGAACCTCCCTGTACTAACTCCACAGACTGCGAGGGCTGGTCTCATTCAACTTGCAAGGCAACCAGTAACGGAAATGGAAGATGCCTCTGCGATGAAAAATATCAATGGAATGGCCACAGTTTAAGCTGTACGCAAGGTAAACGTATTAGGTGTTAACACATTAATTGATTGCACCCCCCAACCCCCCCCGACGTTAAATGTCTAAAGCTGGCGCCTCTCCAATTGTATTGGAGCCCTGAAACCGATTTGAATCGCAACTTCGATAGGATTTAACAAGTGAGAGAGAATTAACCTTGGGAGTAGGAGATTGATGAAAAGGATCATATCTATTGGAACAATATGAGGCCATATTTACTTGTTGAAAATGGATACTACCTCCGGTCCTAATTATAATAGCTAATTGACTAATTTGAGAAGATTAAGGAAATAAGTTAAATTAATTATTTGTAATATATATATACTGTGTTTCCTAAAATATCCTTACTTACTAAGTTGATTGGCTAGAACTACTATTATTAGAAGGACCACTTTGAGAAAAAAATACATAAATATGAGAAACAAAGTGGATTAGGATCTTATAATTAGGACCAAAATAAAAGTCAAATAAGGTCTTATATTAAGAACCAGAGATAGTACTTGAATTCTTTACCGACCAGTTAGAATAACCTTTCTGTTGTTATCAGTACTGAGATTCTTTCATATTTTATTATTCCTCAACTTAGTTTAAGCGAAATTGATTGATATGAACTCAGTAAGAATCTTGAGCTTCTCTATTCTCTTTTTGAGCCGATAACAACCATTCAGATTAATTTACCGAGTATGGATCATGCCTAGACAAAACAAGAATAACATAGGAATTGTACTCTCTGGTAAGCCTCAGCTCAGGGAGATTTGACTTCCAACTGAGGCTAAAGAATCTGTTGCACTTTTATACCTTGATTTTACAAATATTGAACCTCTCATCGACTTTTATTTATAGAAGAAACAGTGAGCAAAAAGTGAATGATATGAATGACTAGATATTGTTGCCAAACAAAATATAGAAGAATGACTTCGTAATGTTCTTGTCAATCTTCAATATATGCACGTGGAATAAGATATAGTTAGAAATTTAAGTACTGATCGCAGTTAGGATGACTCTTCCATACTGAGATTGATGCCAAGCTTTAATATATGCTGATTATCTAACCCTCCAAATTGCTCAAGAACAAATTGTTGCTATTACTATCATCAGCATCAGTCCCCACAAGTAAAGTACACTTGATTCTACAATTTCAATGGCATTCCTTAATCCCGTCCAGAAGCTGACACATTTCCTTTGTCAATAGAGCCTCCGAGAAGAAACAGCCCTAGAGTTCTGATATTAGCGGTGACACTTTCAACCTTGATTTTCTTGGCCTGCATTATAACTTCTGCTTACATTTGGAGAAGAGTAGCCTCTAATCAAGGTAATACGTTTTTTGCCTACAAACTTCGATGCATTCAACATGATCTGATACTTACAGTGCCTGTGCTCACGTAATAAGTTTATGTTTGGGTCTATTATGCGTGTTTAGAAAAGGGAGAAAATCAAAGAACGAGAGATGTCCTACATGACAATGAGAGATATATCAAAGATTTCATAGACGCCGAGAGGACAGAGGAAAAGGACGGTGAAGGGATAGAGGTACCTTATATGGATTTTAATAGCATCCTTTTAGCCACGGATAACTTCTCAGATGCGAACAAGCTTGGACGTGGGGGTTATGGACCTGTGTACAAGGTGATTGATTCAGTTCCACTTTCTTCATTGATTTCTAAACTTTAGAGACATGTTATATGAAGAATTTTTATTGCAGGGCAAGCTTCAAGGAGGTCAAGATATTGCAGTCAAGAGGCTTTCAAGTGTTTCTTCACAAGGAATGAAGGAATTCAAGAATGAAGTTGTCTTGATATCCAAACTTCAACATCGGAACCTTGTTAGACTTTTGGGCTATTGCATTACAGGACAAGAAAAAATATTACTTTATGAATACATGCCAAACAAGAGCTTAGACACATTCTTATTTGGTTAGTTACAAAATGCTTAATTATCAATAATTTCAAGCTTGACACAAGTTTAGCGAATTTAATGTAAAAGGAAATGTTGATGCAGATCATACACACAGAGTGATTTTGTACTGGCCAATGCGTGTTGACATAATTTTAGGAGTTGCTAGAGGAATATTATATCTTCATCAAGACTCTAGATTGAGAGTGATTCATAGAGATTTGAAAACTAGTAATATTCTTTTGGATGAGGAGATGCAACCAAAAATTTCAGACTTTGGACTTGCAAAAATATTTGGAGGCAAGGAAACTGAGGCCAACACTGAGAGAGTAGTTGGAACTTAGTAAGTTTGATGTATCTCCCTTTTTGAATATTGATCTTCAACTATATTTATAACGAGCATTATAATTTTGTTTCCTTTTATTTTATAGTGGATACATGGCTCCAGAGTATGCATTAGACGGATTTTTCTCAATTAAATCAGATGTTTTCAGTTTTGGGGTTGTAATGCTTGAAATTATCAGTGGAAAAAAGAACACGGGATTCTTTCAATCCAAACAAACGTCCAGCCTTCTGGGTTATGTATGTTTCATCTTGTTCCTCCCTTGGCTTAATGTTCTTTTTGCATTGTGGTGATTTCCTATTTATATGAATGCAGGCATGGAGGCTATGGACGGAGAATAACCTCTTGGATTTAATGGATCGATCTTTGAATGAAAGTTGCAATGCAAATCAATTCATCAAGTGTGCACAAGTAAGTCTATTGTGCGTGCAAGATGAACCAGGAGACAGGCCCACCATGTCGCAAGTATTGATAATGCTTGAAAGTGAGACTGCGAGCCTTCCAACTCCAAAGGAACCGACCTTTTTTAGGAATAGTGCCAGGGGCCTTTCTAGCTCTGCTTCTTCTTCCAGTAAACCTGAAGGAATTCTTCCCACTGACAGTACCTATCAACAAGGTCGGTAGTGGAGATTGGATTATATTGGATCCTGTCAGGGAAACCAAAAACTAACTTCTTATTGAAACTCTAGTACGCTTGTATGATAGGCCATTCATTCTTAGGGAACTTAGAACAGCTGACATCTGGTATGAAAATACCATACAAATATTAGTTAGGCATATATTTGAAATCTGTTGGTGCAATTATTTTTTTCTGCTAAAGCATAGATATTCTCTTATTGGGGGCAATACTATTCAAGACATTGTTAGGCGCTAAATATGGGTACCTCTCCCAGCAGAGATTCAAACCTTGGTTCTCCACATTGTGACAGAATAGCTCATTCTGCTAGATCCAATCCACCGTTGGTTGTTGGCGCAATTATTTGAAGATGAAATATGTTGATATTTAGGTCCTGTGTAGTCTATATGTTTGCTCCAAAATAAGTTGGGCCAAGCCCAACAGAGAGGAGAAGTGAGCGCTATAAACAAGATGGTACTAGAGGACCATATATGTACGATCTCAGTGGAAACTAAGATCTAGAGTGAGGGTCGAAGCTGAATTAAATGGTTTTTTGTGGGGTATATGAGGCTGTAGAAATAGAATGATAGATCCATAAAAGTTGAATCTAGAGGAAGGACTAATCCCGCACAATCTTGATAAATGAAGGTTCGAATCTCACCTGAGAGAGGTGTTCACATTTAGTACCCAACAATATCTCGAATAGGATTACCTCCAATAAGAAGATACCTGCGCCTTAAAAAAAAATAGAATAATAAATTTAAACAAACAGAAGAGACCCTTGTAGGGTGTGTAGAGAGCTGAAAATAAGCGGAGGAAGAAAAAGAAATTGAGATTCGGGTATTTGACAATTCAAAGGTGGCCTTTTCTATTAGCTTTGGATATTTTCTATATATATGCATACATACACACACACACAAATATATATATATATATATATATATTATAACATATAAACCGGACTCCGTCAATTTTGTTTGCTGTGGATTTTGCAAAACACTAATTACCGATGAAATTTAGGGTTTTACAAACATTTTTGGGTTTTGGCCCTTTGGGTTTATGTTAAAGTATGGGTTTGTGTGTGCTTCTATTTAGAAAAATATTGTGTAATATGAATTTATTGAGACTAGATGGTATTTTAGGTATTTTCACTTTCTTTTTTTTTCATTATCTTCTGCCTTTTACACAGACCAAGTAACATTTTTCTGATCAAACATCCCTACTGTTTTTCCAAAAATGACCAGACATCTTTTTCATTCATATTTTTCCTTTTGATTTCTCTATCTCTTTTTTATTTTTTTTGAGTAAAGTCTCTACAAATTACATTGTATAAACAGTACATATACTATGTTCGGTACGAGAGAAATGAAGGGAAAGGGAGGGGAGGGAAAATATTGATGAGCTCGTTTTAAAAAATTGAAGAAGTGGGGTTATAAAATTTTGATAAGAAGAACATGTGAGATAAAATAATAATTAAAATAAATCAAAAAATTTTAACCCCACTTCTTCAATTTTTTAAAACGGGCTCATCAAAAATTTTCATTCCCTCTCTTTCTCTCTGTTTCCCTCAAACCAAACGGATAAGAGTAAGATGATGACTTTTAAAATAAAGTAAGAGATTGTCAGGATGGCTTGCATTGAAAATAAAAAATAAAAAACAGAATTGGGATATAATGACAGGAAGATATTGGTCATTAATAGTATTAATCAAAGGTTAGTATGATACAAGGAGAGTCACAAAAGGGATAGAAAGAAAAAGGTCAAAGAAAGGAGAAACATACGAGGAGGGAGGGAAATAGTTTCACCAAATGATCAAATACTTTATTTCCTCCCCACCCCTCAACCTATACTCCCTCCGTCTTTAATTATAAGATCTTTTTAACTATATTACGCAGTTTAATAAAATAGTTAAAATTAATTAAAAACAGTTAATATGCAGCAAATGTAATTTTTTTTCAAATATACCCATATATATAAATGGGTAAATGTGAAAAAGTAATAATGAGATAAATAAAGAAAGATAATGTATTAAATATATTAAATTAGGAGTAAAATAGATAATAATATATTATATACTCAAACATACTCAAAAAGAATTTTATAAAAAGAAACAGACCCCTTTAAAAAATTAGATTTTATAATAAGAGACGGAAGAGTATATCATAACTTCTTCCAGGATACTCCTTGAGCCTAATGTTGGATTTGTTGATCCAATAGCTGCTTCCTTATGATCCCCGTTCATAAAATCATTAAATCGATTCATGACCAACTTTGAAATAATAATAAAATATAAGATCAGCTCCAAAAAAAATTTTTTTTAAACTGCCACGCTGGTTACATACTTTTTTCTTCCCACGAAAATAAATAAAAGTGCAATGCAGCTGGTTGATGGCGTGGAGGAAAGCCCCATAATTCTCCAATCACAATCATACTCTCGGCATTTAATGATCGTTCCCATCTTATTAATTAATTAATTGGCTGGTATGAAACCCGGAAGCATTTCATGTTTTCGAATGATACAATTTATTTTTAGTATTTCTTATTTTTTATTAATATTAGTTTTTTTGTTTTCTCTTTTTGGACTGGGTTCTCCTACATATTATGTAAATCAAGTTCTACTCAGTACTCAGTACAGTTTGACTCGCTCAATTGGGTGGGAAAAAAAAATGAGGGAACTATTTTGTTTAACTGAGTCATTCATAAGTTTGCAGTTTAAACGAGTTGCAGTTAACATAGGTGACACGATTTTATAAGCGATAAACATAAAAATGATAAGCTTGATAACTGAACTCATAAGTCCAACTAAGTTTGTAAATGATAGGGGTATACATTTAAGTGAGAGTTAATATGATTGTATAAACTGAAAACGGAAAGGAATTTGACATCAGTGCGTGTTTCATTGCAGGTTTATCGATAATTATCTGTCAAAGCAGCGTGAAATATACAATGAACTGTCGCATGTGTTCATTGCACCCGTACCAGCAATAAACCGACATAGAAATACTTATAGTGGCATTGTTTAAAATTAATTTGACTTCTTCCTGCCGGCTCTGCGCGTAACGACTTGGAAATCTATGCGGTGCTGAACTGTAATATTTGTCGAAGTAGAGTTAAATTAATGGAAGCTTGTCTGAATTAGTTGCTTCGGGACATGCACTTTAAACTTTGGAGTCACACAATGATGTTATTTAAATAATTGTTGCCATAAAATAATATTTGGAGTCAAATTTCTTGCATCCAATTCTTCTAATAATTCTGTATTTAATTTGGCACTAGGGGAAGGTGTTATTTTTATATGTGAAATGGACAACCATTTCAAACTTTGAATCAATAAATTATAAAATATGGTGTTAATATAAATAAAATAAATAAATAATGCATTTGGTGTATTGCTCTCGTAGTAAAGTAACTCCTTTATATGGATAAGTTGGATTGTTCTATTCCCGCAGTGTCAGTTTAGTGTCCTTTTCGATTCAAAAATAATTAATAAAAAAAGCTTCATCATAACTGCAGTTTGATGAAAACCTGCGCAATAAATTTTAAATTATTGTTTTTATATGGAAGAATTCTAAAAAAAATATCTTTGAATTTTAAAATTCTAAATCAGTCTTGTTTACTACACGTTAATAACAACTGATAATATTTGAAAGGTAAATGATAATATTCTTTAGTCATTCTTGATTTGGGTTTTGAAATTTGAAAAGATTTTGTCTTTTTATATTCCAAAGGGTAAACAGGGGTTGAAGTTCAAGTGAAAATAAGCCATTGTAAATTCTCAACTTATGAATTTTGTATTTTGAGTGATAAATTGTGAAAGCTTCATCACTACATGTCGCAGGTCTCAGTAATAAATTCTAAGTTGTTAAAACCGAGTGATATTAAAAAAAAAAAAAAAAAAGAACTTGCGAAGGGGCAAGACAAAGAACCCAAAAAGTCCTGTAAACAAGCACTGTTTGAAGAGTTAAGGAAAAAACTAAATATATTTTAAAGTGAAACACCGTTTAAAAAAAAAAAATTGAACTTCATTTAATTTACCCAGGACCTCATAATCAAGCTGATTACTGAGGTGATTTTTTCATTTCCGCGTGGCTAACTGATTCGTATTGACTATTGATAGCGCGGATAAGATCAACAGTTTCCAGACAGATCCCGTCGGCCCAAAAAGAGGATGGGGACCGGGCAGGGCGCTAGTGTGCGCCGACCCTGACTTCCCCTGTCAACCACCCACCGGCTCGATGTCCTCATTTCGTGCAAATGACTATGAAAAAAGTTATAAATTGGCATTTGGTATGCAATTGGTTAGCAGCTGTTCACATCTCTCAAGTGCCCCACCCACAGGAACAAGAAACATACTCGCAGAGCTCAACCCCGTGAACAACATAAAACTCAAACGTGGGTTGACGAATGAACGGGTAAACGAGGCGACTTCCTTGACTTCATGCTGGCAATTGCATCCTCTATGCTCTCGCATGCGTGCAGCTTGCTTCCATTGTAGCCAGAAGTAGATTCAGAATGAGCATAATCCTCTATGTTCTGTTTTATGCGATCCTATTATGTCTTCCTCCGCCCTGCTTAGCCATGGATACTTTGAAGATCGGTGAAAGCCTTCATGACAGGGAAGATGCCGCTGCGACCCTTGTCACCACGGGAGAGCAGTTTGAACTTGGTTTCTTTTCCCCTGCTCGAAGCCAAAACAGATACCTTGGAATATGGTATCATGGGATAGAACCGCAAACTGTTGTCTGGGTTGCTAACAGAGACAACCCCATTCCTCATTCAAGAACTGGAATGTTCCAACTTTCGCTAGATGGAAATCTCACCGTGTTAGATACAGAAGGAAATCCTTATTGGTCTTACACGCCTGAACAAGTATCTTCTCTCGCAAACCTCACAGTGAGGCTTATGGATTCTGGGAACTTAATTCTGGCAGACGACCACTTACAAGCGACCTACTGGCAAAGCTTCCAACACCCTACGGACACATTTTTGGTGGGCATGAAAATGGATGAAGATTTAGTCTTGAATTCTTGGAGAGCCTCTGATGATCCCGGCAGCGGTAATTACACATTTGCAGGTGGAAAAACAGGGGATAGCAACTATACAATCTACGTCAACCAGAACCAAGTTCACTGGGCTGGTGAAACGCGCCAAGATTTCGGCTCAGAAGGGACAATGCTTTCGCTGTTGACAAACTTCACCCAAAGGCCTTCTACTTATAAAAACAAAAACATGTCAACAAATGCACTTCGTTCTGACTTTGAGCACACAAGGCTAGTGATGAATTATACAGGACGGGTAGAGCTTTGGCGCTGGGATCAGATCGAAGGAGGATGGGCGACTAGATGGAACAAGCCAGATAGCAAATGCAAGATACATAACGCCTGTGGGAACTTTGGCAGTTGCAATATTAATAGTTCGCCAATCTGTAGATGTTTGCCTGGATTCACTTCTAAGTCGCAGGGGGAGAACCAGGTTCCGTCCTCTGAATCTGGAGGGTGTTTCAGAAAACCAACATCATGCGGGCAAAACACGACAACATTCATACACTTGGAGAAGGTGAAAGTGAGAAAACCAGACAAAAAAGTCAACGCAGCGAACGAAACAGAGTGCCGATCTAAGTGCCTCAATGGGTGCCCCCCTTGCACCGCTTATTCATATGATGCGTCAACAAATGCCTATAGTAGGATGTCCATACCGTGCTCTATTTGGACTTCTGATTTGCCTACCCTCCAAGAAGAGATCGATGCGGGCTTTAATCTTTCTGTCCTGGTAAATAAACCAGATATAGGTACTTCATATATTTTCACCATCTCATCTCTCCAAATAAGATGCTTGCTTTACTTAATCAATACTGTCTTAGATTTGCTAAAATGAAACTGGTACAGAACCAACTCCAAGAACCTGCAAACCTTGCGGTGTATTCACAATTCCTTATCCGCTAAGCACTGAAGCAAGTTGTGGTGATCCCATTTACTCTCAATTCAAATGTGACTCGCCAACCGGGCAGGTTAGTTTCATTGTGGGAGAAGAGCCTTATAGAGTTACTAACATTGATCCGGACGAGAGATCGTTCTCTATTCAAATCAAAGATTCGGATAATTGTCCTGCAAGCAATCTCGAGCGTTGGCTTGATCTGTCATTTAGCGTGACTCAACAGTGCGATGATGCAGATGAAGCAAAGACACTAAAGATTAATTGGTCTACCCCAGATGAACCTCCCTGTAATAACTCCGTAGACTGTGAGGGCTGGTCTCATTCAACTTGCAACGCAACCGGTAATGGAAATGGAAGATGCCTCTGCGATGAAAAATATAAATGGGATGGCCTCAATTTAAGCCGTACGCAAGGTAAACGAGTTAACACATTAATGATTAATTTACCCCCCCCCAAAAAAAAAAGTTCTTCTTGTTAGGGAGACAGGATGTCTAAGCCTGACACCTGTCCAATTGTATTGGAGCCCTGAAACCGATTTGAATCGCAACTTCAATAGGATTTAACAAGTGAGGAAAAATTAACATTGGGAGTAGGAGATTGATCAGAGGGATCATATATGTTGGAACAATATGAGGTGATAATTACTTGTCTTGTTGAAAATTGATGCTTGAATTCTTTATAGACTAATTGGAATGACCTTTGTTGTTATGAGAATTGAGATACTTTTATTTTTTATTATTCCTCAACTTAGTTTGAGCCAACTTGATTGATATGAACTCAGCAAAAATACTGAGTTTGACTATGCTACCTTTCTGAGCCACTAGCAACCATTCGGCTTAATTTACTGAATATAGACCACGCCTAGACGATACAAGAGTAACAGAGGAATTGTATTCTTATTTTAAGGCTCACTGTCACTGACAACCCATGGATATTTGATTTCCAGCTGAGGCTGAAGAATCTATTGAACTTTTGTACTTTGATTTTACAAACATTGAACTTTTCATTTATTTTTATTTATAGAAGAAACAATGAGCAAAAAATTGAATGATAGGAATGATTAGATATTGTTGCCAAAGAAAATATAAAAGAATGACTTCATAATGTTCTTGTCAATCTTTAGTATACGCAATTGTAATAAAAAGAGACAGAAATTTAAGTACCATTAGCAAGCTGTAACTAAATGTAGTTAGGTTAACTTATTCGTAGTCAGATTGATGTCAAGCTTTAATATATACTGACTATCTAACACTTCAAAATGCCCAAGAACATGGCATTCCTAAACACACATATGAGTACACTTGATTCTACAATTTCAATGGCGTTCCTCAATCTCACGTGTAGAAGCTAACAAATTTCCTTTGTCAGCAGGGCCTCCAAGAGGAAAAGGCTCTAAAGTTTTAACGTTAGCGGTGACGTTTTCAAGCTTGATAGTCTTAGTCTGCATTATAACTTCTGCTTACATTTGGAGAAGAAAAGTGGCCTTTAAGCAAGGTAATGCATTTTTCGCTTGCAAACTTCTAAGCATTCAACAGGATCTGACGCTTAAGATTATAATTGGACCTCTTAAATTTCATCATGTCCCAGTGCCCTTGTCCATTATGTTTATTTTTTCATCTATTATACGTGTTCAGAAAAGGGACAAAATCCAAGATCGACAGGGAGCCTACATGACAGTGAGAGATATATCAAAGATTTTATGGACGCTGACAGGTTAGTGGAGAAGGACAGAGAAGCAATAGAGGTACCTTATTTGGATTTTAGTAGCATCCTTTTAGCCACAGATAACTTCTCAGACGCTAACAAGCTCGGACGCGGGGGTTATGGGCCTGTCTACAAGGTGATTAATTCAGTTCCACTTTCTTCATTGATTTCTTTACTTTAGAGACGTGCTATATGAAGAATTTTTGTTACAGGGAAAGCTTCAAGGAGGTCAAGATATTGCAGTCAAGAGGCTTTCAAGTGTTTCTTCACAAGGAATGAAGGAATTCAAGAATGAAGTCGTCTTGATATCCAAACTTCAACATCGAAACCTTGTTAGACTTCGGGGCTATTGCATTACAGGAGAAGAAAAAATATTACTTTATGAATACATGCCAAACAAAAGCTTAGACACATTCTTATTCGGTAGGTTACAAAATGCTTAATTATCAATAACTTCAAGCTTGACACAGGTTTGGTGAATTTAATGTAAAAGGAAATGTTGATGCAGATCGTACACAACGGGTGATTTTGGATTGGCTAATGCGTTTTGACATAATTTTAGGAGTTGTTAGGGGCATGTTATATCTTCATCAAGACTCTAGATTGAGAGTAATTCATAGAGATTTGAAAACTAGTAATATTCTTTTGGATGAGGAGATGCAACCAAAAATTTCAGACTTTGGACTTGCAAAAATATTTGGAGACAAGGATGTTGAGGCTAACACTGAGAGGGTAGTTGGAACATAGTAAGTTTGATATATCCACCTCATTGAATATTGCTCTTCAACCATATTTACACGAAATATTATGATTTTGTTTCCTTTTATTTTGTAGTGGATATATGGCTCCAGAGTATGCATTGGATGGATATTTGTCTATTAAATCAGATGTTTTCAGTTTTGGGGTTATAATGCTTGAAATTATCAGTGGAAAGAAGAACACAGGATTCTTTCAATCCAAACAAACTTCTAGCCTTCTGGGTTATGTATGTTCCATCTTGTTCCTCCCTTGCCTTAATGTTCTTCTTGCAGCATGGTGATTTCTTGTTTATATGAATGACTATGTAGGCATGGAGGCTATGGACGGAGAATAACCTATTGGATTTAATGGATCGATCTTTGAATGAAAGTTGCAATGCAAATCAATTTATCAAGTGTGCACAAGTAAGTCTGTTGTGTGTGCAAGATGAACCAGGAGACCGGCCCACCATGTCGCAAGTATTGATAATGCTTGAAAGTGAGACTGCGAGCCTTCCAACTCCAAAGCAACCGACCTTTTTTACGAACCGTGCCAGGGGCCTTTCTAGCTCTGCTTCTTCTTCCAGTAAACCTGAAGGAATTCTTCCAACTGACAGTAGCTATCAAGAAGGTCGGTAGCGTGAATGATGAGTTCGATGCGCATTGGATTGGGCCCTATTGGAAAACCAAAAAGCAACTTTTCATTGAACTTCTAGCACGTTTGCATGCAAATGAAAGACCATTCATTCTTAAAGGGCTCATGACTTACTGGTCTTCAAAAACCAGTTATCTCTATTAGGTTCCTCATTTAATGTAATGCAATTTGTGATTATCTTGATTATTCTAAAAGTGAAACGCGGGAAGTACTTTGATGTAAGTGGTCGCTTTGATCGAATCCGACTAATATTCTAGTGAATCGGAATATGTAGGTGCTTTGATCCAAGTGTACAGACGCTAGAGAGTGGTATAAAATTTTGCAATAATAGAACCCAACTTGTTAGTTGTGCAGACTTGCATACTAAATGATCGAAGTGGTAGGTCCACCATATCAGACGTAGTGACAATGTTTGGCAGCAGAGAGATTGCAGTCCTCTCGAGTCCTAAAGCTAGAACCAACCGTTTTTTTTTTCTTTTTCGCTTTGGTGAGGAGAGGGATTTCTGATTCATCTTCTTCTACAATTAAACCAGAAGAAATAAACCTGCGATGTAAGAGTAGCTCTGCAGATTCTCCATAGTGCATGGTGAAGAACCCAATTGAGATTTGGCTGCATTCCAGTTTGCTACGCAGGTCCAATTCCAAACAACTAACGATATTAGCTTTTCTCTGTCAAGTATCAGTGGAATTTGTATGAAGTATCAAGAAGAATTTCACACGATAATGTCCCTCAGGGGGCCAAAAAATATAAAGAGCGAGGAACTATCACTGCTCCGAAAGGGGGGAAAAGCCATCACACCTTGTTGAATCCATACTCTCTCGTGAAAGAGAGTCCACTATTTGAGTAAGTGGATATTTATTTATTGCTTATCTTTTATTATCTGAAGCAAAGAAGACTGTCCCTTCAAATTTTATTGATAACTCTTATATGTTTTGATTATTCATTATTTTAAAGAAAGAATTGCAGAAATTATAGGGAAAACCGTGTGTTCAGAGAGATTCTCGTTTCAAATTCTACAAAAATTTGTTGACCGAAAATGTTGAGAATCTTAGCAATTACTAGCCTGTACTAGTAACAGAATTAAAAAGTGAGTATACAGTTTAAGAAAAGAAAAACAAGTTAACTATAGCTAGGTCTCTAATAATTTTTTTAGGGAAAATTTGAACAAAGGACATTAAAAAAATAATATTTACTCAAAAAGATATTAAAAACCTTAATTATTTAGAAGGACTAAAATTTAAAATATAAATGTAAAAGTACAAAATTGTCCCCAATGCAAACACCATGATTTCTTTCACTTGCGCATTTTTCGGATTTCCCTTCAGTTTCATACGCACAAGGAAGAAAGAGACAATGAACTACAAGCTTTAAGCTTTCCTTCTTTAATGGTGATCAGCGATCTTTTCTGAATCAAATCACTTCCAGTAAAACCACCCTTACACATATGCACCAACAGAATTGGGTCATGATCACCATCGCAACACCACCAATGGCGTCTCTCACCCTCAGCAAGTCAACAAGCCATAGCTTCATACTTAATTATCGAAAGATTGCATTGGAAATTTCCCTTTGGATGTGTAAGCAGTGTGCTCTAGTAATGTTCACAGACAATGCTTTGCCCGTCGCAATCCTTTGATGATTAAGTTACAAAAAGATTGCGTTGTAAGGAGTTAAGAAAATAGGAGGAACAGAGGAGAACGGGAAGAATGAAGGATATTAAATTTACATTTTAATATCTGGTCTCTCCAAGTAATTATATTTTTTTATGGTCCTTCTTAATAAATATTACTTTTATTAGCTTTTTGGCTCTAATTTTCCCTTTTTTAAAAAATACGTTATTAATACTGAATTAATAAAAACTGCAAATTCAGGAGGCTTAATTATTAATAGTGCATTTAACTTGTAAATGTAATTTTCAATTTGTAATTAGAATTTTTGCTTGTATTGTCAACGATACTTACAACTTAATTTTTTAAAAAAAAAAATTTAAACAATCTGATAAACCTATATTTTTACCATGGTATTTTATATTTTTAAGGGGTTTTTTCTCACCAAAATAAACTAAATTGCAGTTGTTATGATTAATTTAGATTGGAGATTGATTTTATTAAAATGGAACAAAAAGAGTATTTTTGTCATATTTTTATGTTTGCTCTCAAATAATAAATTTTGGAACTTTTCATATTACAATTTGTTAAATTATTTTGTTGGTTATTCTGGGAAATTTAAAATGAATCATGAGGAATTTCAAGGATTATAATGATAAAAATAGACTACGTGGAATGAATAAAAAAGAATGATAAGAGTTGTGCATGCTCAGTGAATACAAACATCATAAACACCGCTAAATACTATTCCGGTTCTAAATATAAGACTCATTTTATAGTGTAAATTTAAAACTCATTTTGTAGTGTAATCTATTACTATATAAAAGTAGGGTACAAAGCAGGATCTGATGAGAGATTGCCAAGTGGCCTCACCATAATGCAGATAAATAGGTTTTATTTTTCTATTTTTGTAAAAATTGAAATTTTATGCACAACTCCCCTATCTATACATTCCTTACCCTGTCTTGATAAAAATTGGCAATTATCTCTCATAATGAATTTGCCACTTATCTCACATTATTTCTATTTAAATTATTTTAGTTGAGTTGTTTATTTACATTTTAGAATTAAAAGTTATCTTTAAAATATCTTAAATTTAAAGCTAACAAGAGTTATTTATTCCAAAAATATTTATTGTCTATTCCCATTTGAATTGCATGAAATAAATCTTTGATTCTGAAAATCATGGCAAGTATAACAGCTACGATATATTTTTTAAATTTGAAATTTACATTAATTTTAGTGTTAATAAATATTTTAAATTTTAAATTAAATAATACAAAGATAATATAACTTCCCAATCCTATTAACCAATTATCTTTTTATCTATACAGTTTTAACAATTTAAAAAGATATTTAATTTCTCTCTCATACCTTCCTGTTTTTCTTTATTGGTTGCTTCTTCAATAATTTTAAATAGAAAAATAAGTGTGAGCATTATTTTATAGATGAGAAATGGCCCATTTTGTCATTTCTTAGTTGATAGAATGGTTTTGGACTTTAGATTTTTATAACTGAAATATCTAAAATATTTAATTTTGAAAAAACATTATATATATTATCATCAGTCAAATAATATTCCAACTTGAAAAATATAACTGTCTAAAATATAACCGGCAACTTTAGAAACAATAATATTGCATCAGTGTTATTTTAATAATAATAATAATAATAATAATAATATTTACTTAGATATTTAAAAAATAGAGTAAGTGATGAGCGTCCCAAACGTGGCCCGACATTCTCAATGGTGGAGGAGGTTACAGTCATCAGTCGGTTTACTGCAAGCAGGGCGAGAGTTGAGGATTCTATACCTTCTGCGAGCAATCATAAAAGGTGTGCATTTCACGTTTATGCTTTTCAAATTTTTCGAGCAGTGGATTATGATGAGTCATGTTTGCCAATTTTCAAATGTTTTCCCATGTTTGTGTTTGGTGGCAGGATGGTGTGGCAAAAGGTTGGTGCCTTCATCGTCTTCCTTTGTTGGTTCTTCTTCTTGATTCCCCTCTTCTTTCCATCTACTCCATCACTTACCTTCTTCTTGGTGATATACCACTGTGGCTGAATCTCTCCTAACCTATCATTGTTGAAGCTCTACTGTTGTCTTCAAGTGGGTTTTGCATTTTGATATTCAGATTTGGGTGATTTTTTTTTTTGGTTGGGATATTTTTTTATTTCATAATTTTTTATTTTATTTTATTCCCTCAATACTTTTAATGCCTCACAAATTTTGAAGGGAGCAGGGAGGAAAAATCTGGATATTTATGCAGATGATCGCTGCATATGTGGATTGAGAATTTCTCCTCAACAAATATTTTATAGGTACGCTGGTTTTTTTCCGGTTTTGGTGAAGGCGAAGGCAAAGGTTTATCCTTCCTTCTTTCATTTTTCAATGTCAACTGGCAATTTAGAGGTAGTGTTCTATTGGTTGTTTTTGTTGTTCATAAAGCATGGCTTCTGAAATATTGTACATGACATTGCACTCATAGTCTCATGCTAATTTCGACTTTTGTTATGATACATCAAGAGACACATATTGTGTTGATAAAATAAAATATCCTACTAAGTGCTGTTTCAAATTATGATATGAAATTAGCATGTATTATTAGAAAAATATATAAATCTTATATTAAGGACAGGAAATAGTATGTATTACTAGATAGATATATAAGTAGGAAAAAAAAACAAAAGTAAATTTTGTCACAAAAAAGATAGGTTAAAGTATATATTTAGTCGTATAACCTTGTACAACGTTTTAATTTAATCTCTTAACTTTAAAAATTATATTTTTAGTCCTTTAACCCTAAATTTTTTTTAAAAAATGATGACATTAAGAGCTTAAATGTTGATAAAATATTTTCAAATGCAAATATGTTAAGTTTAATTTTTAAAATATTTATGATTGTCCAAAAATTATCATTGAAGCCTAATAATTTTAGGATTAAAGAACCAAATATGTGCTTTTTAAATTGAAAGGACCAAATTAAAATCTTATATAAAATTAAAGAACTAAATATATACTTTAGCTTAAAAAGTAAAGTTTATTTTAATCCATCCTATAGTACGTACGTTGCGGGACTGTCTTTTCATATTTTTGAGTTAATAACATTAATTACGATTAATAACAACAATTTTCGAAATTCGGAAAAAAAAAATCATGATCCTCCCCTGGCCCTCCGTTTTAATTAAAATTTGTTGAGTTAATCTTTTTAGTGTTCCTCTTTATTACTTCTTCAATCTTATTTATAAGCTTCAATTTAGAAAGGGATATGATTTATTTTATAAATTTCAATTTGAGTTTATCTTAACATTTAATATTTAATGCATTTTTTCAAATGTTGTCTTTAATTATTTCTCCCTTATAACATTTTCTCCA